AAGATGCAAAATGATGTCTTGTTGAGTTGCTGATCTTTTTCACACCCCTCTCAGTGGCCTTTACTGAACTGTGGCCACAAGCGAATAAGCAGAATAAATATTTAATGACTGAGCTGTGAAGATGATCAATGGCTGGCAGAGAGGAGCCAGGATTCCCAGGCCGGATAGATTTATCATTGTGGCTGGGAAAGTTCAGAGACGGATCACCGTCCTCTCGCGTATCTCCACTTTGAGGTGTGAAAGTAAGAAATGAAAGCCACCTTCTGTTATTTTACAATGGCAAGTAAATGTCGCTCGCCATCAGATGAGTCTGAAGATATGGCTAGCAAGACGTAACGTATCTGTGACAGCATAAACGCAAGTGTCTGTGTTATAAACAGATGCTTGGTGATGTATTTATGCTTTTGAATGTGTGACCCTGCCTGGATGCAGAGCTCTCCTTTGAATCAGAAAGGCCCTTTTAGCTGCATTTGCTTGTGTGTACATTCCACCGATCTAGGCTCGTCTGCCTCTCTGCAAGTCTGGCAACACTTAATGGAAGCAGGCAGACAGGCTTCAGGTGCAAGTATAAATGTCACTGCAATTACGGCGGGAAGGAGTCGGCAAACAAACAGCATAAGGGTGTGCACAGACGTAGAGCTGTTGGAGTGTGTGAATGGATTCTGCGGCAGAACGTTTTTGCCTGCTGCAGCATACTTGTCTGTTTCTCATCCAGCTCTGCAGTTTGTTTGTCTTTTTCACCCACACCCCACCTTCATTTCTCCTACTTATTTAGTCCCAGATTTCATTTTTTCCCCAAAAAATTCAGAGAAACTTTATGTCACAGGGGCATGTTAAAGAAATGTAAAAAAAAAACCAAAACACTAACATTGTTTTACATTTCCCTCTTTGTGCAGTTGTTGGTGATACAAAATTAGATTGTATTTTGTTTAGTGCCATGGATGTCTTGAACCCAGTGATGGGCCAATACCTGCTAATGCGCTAATAGAGGAATAACAATCTGTTTTGTGCTCCTGCACTTTTGCAAACTTTGTAAACATTTAGCACAATTAGCTTCGCCTAAATTAGTTATTCCGGAGTCAAAAGTGCTGATTTACTTGTCTGTTTTGTAAGCTTTCAGTTGAATAAAGTTTTGACATCGGTTCTTTTTTTGCTCCCAGTGACCTTATGCCAAACAAGAAACATACAAGAACAAAATAAAACACGGACTGTAGAGACACATACATCTTGTAAATGATAACCTCAAAAACTAAATTGATGCCCATCGGTGGCAGTCTTTCAACAGAAGATAGAATTTCAACTGAAATTAGCTTTTCTAATTTTAAATAGAGTTGCAGTGCCTTAGCGTTAGCGGTATTAATGTTTATGAGAAGTGATTTAGAGTAGCGCTAAATACCTTTTAGTCAGCAGTGCCCATCGCTCTCTATTTTGTAATATTAGAAATATTTTAAGGATCTTATGTGACAGAACTTGTTTTATGCAGATTTGAATTCCAGTTTGTGAGCTCATAGCAGCAGAACATAAATATGCATGTTTGAGAGAGCTGCTGCTGTTCATTGTTTGGATTCTGGTGGAAACTAAAACTTGAAACAATAGAGGAAACTCGCAGAAGGTAAAAAGATATGCTTCAAGAAAATATGTAAATGGAAACATCTAAGGAAACATCCAGCAGTACTGTCAGAATACAGACCACACTGTATGATGTTAGTCTTAATGAGCTATCACAAACATGATGAGTTAGTTGTTGTGGCCCAGACTTAAAACTAAATCAGGCAAAATGAAAGACAGACTTTTTTTTCTCTCTGGTTTCATAAGACTCTTTAGTTATGTAGATGGAAAGTCAGATTCATAATTCAGGATTAGTTGATTAAACGTTGATTAAATGTTTTGGCTGTTTTAAAGGGCTCACTTCACGAAGAACCATTCTATAGTCATTAAACCGTAATTAAGTGAATAGATTTTTAATCATTTCTCCATTATTTAGTCCAACCTTTATTTGTTTGATATCCACAAACATCACTTTACAAGTGAAGCTGAATAAGTTATCAACTGTTTGAAAAATACGTTTACCTCCTCGCTGTGGCGCTGGACCAATAAGCCCAGAAGAAAATACAAAAACCTCCAACGTAAAAAACAAGGATTGGCAAAACATCACATCTCCCACTAATGCTAGATTTGTGTGTTTGTGTTGGTTGTATTTACCCAGAATGCCCTGTGCTACAGTCCGCTTTCCTGCTTTTGAAATGGTTATGCATTCGAACTGCACCAGAGTTCAACCCAATAGACCTAAGATTTTAGGCAAACCAGAGTTCACATTAGTGTTCGATTCCACATTCACATCTTCCCAAATGAACCAAATTTCTAGGCAAACAAAGGAGAATGAATGCACTCTAAATGTAGTTTTTATAGTAGCAATTGTCTTGACCATAGATGATTCTTTACAAAAAGTTGCCATAAGATTATCCAATTGTTAAAAAACTGACAATGTAAATGAAATGTGAAACTGTGGTAAAACATGTCAAACATCTCAGATCATATCCCTCAGAGCGTCCCATTCGCTCTTTGCATAACAAGAAGCACAATATCTCATTTTCAAATGACATCTTGTGTTTTCACAAACACTCAACACCTCTTTTTTTTTGTTTTTTGCTTTTCGCGAGTCCCGTTTCCGCCACCAACTTGTCTTGTGCTGGTCCACGGTCTCCATCTCAATCTCTTCCACAGTGTCTATCTCGCTAACATTTTATCACTTGTTTCCACCCGTTTCAATGTGCTAATGGCGCCGAGATCTGTTATCAGATTATAGGTTTGCGAAGCGAGGGAGGGGGGTGAATAAACATTAAAATGCCAGAGCAGGTAGTGGCAAATGAAGCTGATGAGAATGTGAATGCGTGTGGGGATAGCAGGGAGGCATGCTAATGGGTTGAAAATATGATGCAAATTACCATTTCTACCCCCTCACAGCACCACCCATACCTCTGAATGCAAAATCTACCAGTGATAAAATCAAACAGCTGGGATGGTTTTTCTGGGTTTTTTCTTTCTTTTTTTTTTAAACACATGGTGTTTGTAGTTTGGGCTTGGAGCTGACTGGCTGTGATCAGGCAGAGGAGAGGATGCAAAAGAAGAAAAAAAAAGAAAAAACTGAAATCCTGAAAGCACAGCCTCCCACAGATATATGACGACTGCACTCCCACATCCTCGCAGCGTGGCTGGAGCACATTAGGAATACTTAAAATGTCATTGGCAGTAAATTGAGAAAGGATTACAGGGGTGTTAGTGCGCCATTATGTTCATCAAACAAATCCCCTACCCATGCTTGTCTTGAATAGCAATTCCATATCACCATAAGAGAGCGTGCTATATGGGCCGCAAAGAAGATCTCTCTAAATAGTAGTCTTTTTTTTTCTTTTTTGGCTGGTAGAGCTTTGATCGTTCTCAAAATAAACAAATGTTTCTAGACCTTCCACATTAACGGAAGCCAACCTTCCTATATTGACTTGTTTGATATCCTTGAGTCGCACTTTAAACGTGGAAGCTGCTCAGGCTTCCACCTTTTGGTTGAATGATTTTACCCCCGACTTTTTTCGTCGAGGACCAGAAAGTTGTATCGTCCGGCCGGGAGCCTTTCAAAGGGTCAAGCACAGGAACGGAGCCGGGGATGGTCCACAACCGACGGCGTGGCGGACTCCGTTGCTAAGTGACAAATTGCCAGTGAGAATGGGAGGGGGAGCGAGAGATGAAGTGAAAATGAGAGGGCGAGGGGAGGAGAGAGGAATTGATTGCGTCTCTCTTAGGAATGCCGGCTGCTTCTTGGACGCAGGGTTGTGTTAAAGGCGAGCTAGACGGAGCGGGGTAATCGCAGACGATCATTTCTCACAGAAAGGCATGATCAACTGGAAGATGCTCAGATTGAGTCTGAGACAGACAGACAAGGGACATGAACGGTCAAGTGTGTGTCAACTAGCATTATCAGGGAATTCTTATTCCGACTCCGACAAGAAGCAGAAAGGTGAAAATCATTGAATCTCCTGCTCTCTCGGCCGGTGACCAGTGACGGGTACACAGGTGGCGAGAAGGCATTGTGTAACCAGGAGGAGGCAGAGTCAGCGTCTCCAGTGGCATTGGCTCACACATAAAAGGATCTTTCAACACAATATGACAGAAATCAAAGACAAAAAAAAAAAAGAAACATTTTGTTCTCCAAAAGGCACCTTTATCTTTTATGTATTAGTGCCGTTTCCACGGCATCTCATGTGGGCTTCCAAACCGCAGTATTTCATGCATGACATGCTTTTCTTTTTTTCCTTCTTTTTACGTTTTTGTCTCAGTGTGTGCATGAACCTGCCTGGGAACTAGCGTGTAAAATAAACTAATTAGCTAAACTGGCACTGCTGCTGAAAACTTTATAAGTGTTTACTGTTCCTGTAATTAGGATGCATTAGTAATGAAACACACAAAATGATTCTCCTTGATGAAAATTTCAACGCCTCAGCGGCTTGGTTGTGTCAATCTGTAGCTTTGACTTTCAAAACTGAAAACGTTGAGTGGTGAGCAGCTCTATGTGAATTTTAGTGTTTAAATCTTTCCAAACGATAGTCAAGAGAACACCAATAACGAAAGGTTTGGACTGCCTGCGGTTCTATGAATTCAGACAAACTCCAGACACAAGAGCCTCAGGAGATCAAATTGGAAATTTATAAACTTTATGGATACGTCAATAAGGATACGTCAGTAAACCATATGAAGCTAGCCATCTGCTGCTTGTGTCTGCATATATGAACAAAGCTGGGTTTCATTATTTCTGTAATAGCTTTGGAGATTAGTTCAGCTTCAGTACAGCCAGACGACCAAATCCTTCTATAGAGGGTCTCCTACATAAAAAGGGGTCATCCAAATTAAAATCTTTTTAAAAATATACAAATCTGGACACAGAACTGCATCAGCAAAAAATGCATCTGTTTTCAGAAGTTCTCAATTCCCACTTAAATATGAGGTGCAACAAGTGAATGCTGCATAGGTTATGTGGATTTTTTCTTAACATGATCGTCCAACAATGTCCAACAATGACAGGAGGACATTGTTGGAAAAAAAATGTGCCAACTCCCAGTTTTTATCTGGAAGCAGAAGGTTAGTTTGTACTGACCGGAATGACGACAGCCAATGAAAAGAGAGGCAGAGACTCAACTGTAAGCTCTTTATTTTATTGTATTTTTTGTAACTTTATTGGTAACTGTATTGTAAGTAGAGCCAGTAGTTAAACATGTTAATTTTGATTGATTAATTAGATAGATTTTGCCACATTAACATTTTTACAGCATTTTTTTTTTCGACGTGTTTCTGGTACACCAGTAAATCTGATGCACAAGTGACATCCACAAACAACAAGATTTCAATTTTGCCTCTGATGGGACGCTGGACAAAAAAACGACAGTTGTGTTCAAGTTGTGTTAAAAGGAGTTAGCCTATTAACACAGCTTTTCCAGGCTTAAATAGCATCTCAAAGCTAACCATGTAGCAGCAGATGCTAATATCAGTGTCCACAATCCACATTTCTAAAAAAGCTCAACTCAAGAAAGCTGAAAGGGCAGAATAACACTTTGCACCAATCAGATGGTTAAAGAACCCGAATAACAGATTGAAAATAATCAATATATTTGTTGTTGAGCTGATAGGTCTATTCAAAAAATAGTTTTTGAATTGAAAATGTTGCTTGTTTTGTCAATGTATGTTTTTTGGATAAGCCAATATCAATTGTGATTAAATAATGAAGACCCTGCGCTTAACTTGAAGGAAAAACGACCACTAATTATAAACATAAAAGCACAAACAGTGGGCATGGTGCAAACCATGAACTGATTACACAATAAGCCCCCCCTAAAAAAAAGACGTTCGGTTATTTTAGACTGACATACGGTGCATAATACATGTCAACACGTAGAGAACTCTGGGCATCTTATTACCGCCACCTACTGGCATGTTTTCCCCCGCATCAAGCTGTTGCGCTTGCGAGAGTTTGACACCTTCATTCGGCAGTCTCGCTGGTCCCTCAGCAGGAGCAGCAGTGAAGTGTTTGTCGCTCGGTCTTTAAGTCGTCAAAGTGTAAACTAGTCTTTGCAAAAATCGATGGATGCCGTGTCGGATCCTCAGCTTAAGTGCTGGTTATCAGTTCAGATGTGTCAGATCTGAGCCAATCACAGGGCCGGTCTGTCTGAGAGGAGTCTGCGAGAAACATCAATGGCTTGACTGATAACCCCCCCAAAGCCCACCCGGCGCCCAACCCACCACATTGACAGCTTCGAAGTAAGTGGTAAGTGAAGTACTGGCATGAGTGAGAAGATTCAATGTCAAGGGAGTAATAGCGAAAACAGTTCAATGAAAAGTTTTTTTGTGGTGAATTTTCAGCAGCATGCGACAGGCGAACCACGCTGCTGTTCTGTCAGAGCAGCAGATCCTCTATGTAGCCTTCCCCACCAGGGCTGATATGATGATATCAACTTTTTCTCCTCTATGTTTTTCTGCTTTTATTCAAATGTGGTTGTATATTTTTAAAAGAATCAACTGGATGTACCGGATGAATCAGAACATGTCAGTCAATGACGTTCGAGATTTTCTTTCGAACTTTGCACCTCTATCTTGTTGCCTCCACAGTAACGTGTTTGTTATTATTATTAAAGCTTAACATTTAATGTCACATAAATGATTCATTACATAAATTGTGTTGTTGTCTGATATAATTTTGATGTATTATGGGGCATTTCTTTTGGAAAACAGTATGGTATGAATAAGTAAAAGCCTATATAAACATACACACATATTCTAGCCTTGAACAACTATTTTGATGCCTGAACACCAATTGCAATAAAATTGGTGTTCAGTTTAACTTTATTTGAGGCATCTATAAATCTAAACTGAATAAAATTATCTGTGGAGTTCACTAAGGTGCCACCCTCGGTCCTCTCCTCTTCCAAATATTTTCACTAAGATAAAGAATCACAATTTTCTGATGCCACAAAGTCTATCACCAGGAGAATACAGTCAGGTGTAAATATTCACTATTAAATTACATTTTCTTTAGCTAACTAAGGATAAAACAAAAGTTTTAGTTTTTGGACCAAATCAGCATGGGTTAAAAATCACCGCTCATCTTCAATCTGCCGGTTTAAAACAAGTTTAAACAACTTTATATTTGCTGTTTGCAACTCATAACCTATTTTTATTTACTTTTAAACCTCTTAAATGTTTATTATTAATATAGGTTGATAGAAAGCTGCTCCATAGATGCTCTATAAATAAAGTTGGCTTGCCATACATAACAAGATGAAAAAATTAATGGGCATGTATTGCATGCTACGTAAAATAGCTCCAAACAGTGAGAAGGTTCTAGTCAAAACCCGTCCACACCACACTTCACGGTCATTCAGTTCAACAATTATTTGCCGTCTCATTAAATAACAACAGCTGTCCTGGAAATTCAATCATACAAACAGAACAATTAGAGCATTTGTTCATGAGGCAGCTAGCATTATTGGAAAGGTCTGGGGAAAACCAGGCTTATTATTCAATAAGGCTGGCTTAGATTATACCAAGTTATTGCCTGCTGGAGGACATGTTGACCACTTTTCTTCGCTCTGTTATTTTCTGCTACTTTCATTATTTTCAACGTTTGCTGCTATTAACTTTGTTTACTCTCTGTTTCTGTTTTTTTTTCCCATTGGAAGAGAAACTACACCCTGTGACTCTCTGTTCAGATGTGTCATATGAAGGGAGGGCGTCTTTACCTGAACTACTGCTGCCAGAAACTTCCTGTTCTCCCTCTGGAGATGATCCACGAAGACAATGAGTGTCTTTCCCAGACAAAGTCACTGAAGGATTTTCTGCTCTATCCGGTGGGTCCATACGTCACAGTGTAGCTGTGTTTCCCTCTTACACAAAGTCACTTAACAGAGTTAAGAGTTAGGTTAATAATGAGCTTTAAGAGGGGGAATCATGGTGCTCTACAATTGGGAAGAATTTGTTTAATTTTTTTTCCCATCTTAAACACTTCCTAAGTCTCTGGATAATTTATGATTTCATTTTTTTTCCCACTTTCTCAAGTATCCATAAATCTTTCACATTCCTTTTAAAGCATGAAATAATCTGTGGTCATTTTCTAATTTCTGTTCTACTGCCTCCCTGTTGAGATGCATTTGATTTTGCCTGAAGTTTCTATTCTGTATCTTCATCCTCCTGTGTTAAAATTCCTTTAAAAACAAGTTCTATATATTCCAATCTCTTTCGCCAGATTTTCTGCAAATTTTGCCTGAATTTCGACCAGAAGATGGCACTAACGCCCAGCCTTATCAGCTCGGCGTCGCATACCAAACAATTGCTCCCGCTGGGCAGTTTAGCACGCGGCACAGAGTGTGTGGTTGTAAAAATCGACCTTGCCACCAACGTCTCCGGTGGATGTTGACTTTGAGTTTGCATTGAGTCCACTTCGTGTACATGTGGGCCTCAGTGGAGGGAAGCATGGCCGAGAATGTGTGAATTTAAGCGCTTACGTAGAAGACAACTGAACTTCATCTGTTTTCCCAAAGATATTTTGTCTCTTATCAAAAATGCTTCTTTTGTTCCACTGACTTGTTAGTTTAGGAATCACTGAACAGCTTTAGCACCGCTAAAGCATTAAAAATTTATCATCAACCTTCCAGACTTCTCAGGTCTTCTAGTTCTGCTCTGCATCCCCACAACCAAACATGGAGAAGCATCATTCAGCATCATAAATTTGGAGCAAACGTCCAGAAAACAGCAAAATAGGCAAAACACTACGATCAAAACCCTGTTTGTTTAGAGAGGATTTAGATTCTCAGTAAAAGGATTATTGATTCATATTTTATGTATATTTGTCCGTTTTTGAATGTCATGAACATTGCCTGACGCACAGCTCATCTTCAGCCATCTTGAACTTTTACCCAAATTTGTAAAATGATATGCAGCTCTCTATCGGATATTTTGCCTTTCTTTGGATTTTTCCATTATGTCACACAAGACAGCAACCTGGTTAAAGTGTTGCCTTAAAATATATGCACCTCCATTGAACTCACACATTGTGAATGAGCCCATCTAAAACCTACATTTGTCCTGTAAAGCCAAGACAAAGGAGTGCAGCCTCAGCGTACGTGTACGTACGTCCGTCTTCGAAGAACGTAATAAAACGTGTGAGGCAGTCTAAACTTTTCATTCTTTAAAATATATATGAAAACATTCGATTGATCCAGTCAATTGTGCGACTGAGGGAACAAAACGAGTGGGAACTAGAAAGGACACGGCAGACGACAAAGCGGCCAGTAGGTGAGAGAATAAAAGACAGACAAATGGGGTAATCCAGAAAGGAAACGGAAGACGTCGAGATCAAGGATCCATCCCTCTCCGCAGTTAGCGAATAAGCTACTGACCCAGATCTGTGACACAACGGTTGTTGAGTCTTCAGGTTGTAAAGTCACATTGGGGATTTCAGAGAAAACTCGCCTCTGTTCTGTGTAGCACAAAATCAAACCGCTGTCTCTTTCCCTGTTCTGCCCTGATCCTCCCACTGCTCTGATACTCTAAGTCTCATAGCAGCGCTGTGCTTCATTTCTCGCTCTCTGTTGTGCACACTGTTCCCTTCTCCTCTTCCTCCTCCTCTAACTCCTCCACACAGAAGTTAAAAACAACAACAACAACAAAAACACAGAAGTGCACATTTCATTCTTCATGCTGGTTTAAGAATTGGGTTAGCTCTGACTGCAAAGCGTCTTCTGGGGCTCCAAAGCCCACCGATAACAAAAACGCTCTGCTAGGATCAAGCCAGTAATCATCAAGTTAGAGAGTTGGCAAAAAAAAAAGGAGAGGGAGGCATTTAGTGTGTGTTTTTTTGGGTTTTTTTGTTTTGTTTTTATCTTTCTGGCAGACTGAATAGAAGGAAATGAAAGAGCAATATCGCGCATTGTAATAATCCCAACAAATCTTAGAATGTGATTAAGCTAATGATGCTAACGTAATGCAATTATCAAAGCAGGAACATGATTGCACAGCATCTTTCACTCGCCTGCTTCCCTTCTTTAAACCTGCAGCACAAAAAAACAAAACAAAAATGAAAACAAAGATTGATTCTGTTATTATTACTTTTCATCCAGTGAGATTTTAATTGCAAAATTACAAAGGAAATATGCCAAAGTCCTTTGGCATATTTGAAATATGCCAAAGTGAATCTTAACCACTTCAGAAAAAAATTGTACTGTACATGTAGCTGAGTTGATTTCATTTACTTATTTTTTATAATTATTATGAACCTTCTCAAAACACTTTTTGTTGAATTGACATGTCTGTTGTTTTTGGTTCCTGATGTTGTTTTGGGAGGGTGGTTATTGATGTCGAACAGAGTGGGGTTCTGTGAGGTAGCTGGAGCAGCCAGACAGAAGCTGCCTACACAGCTGCTGAGCTGCTGGGATGTGAATGGTTGTGTGTGCCACACCGATGGTTGAGTGTGTCCCACGTTGTGTTATAGGAATAAACTGACGCAGATCCTGAGTCCTGTGTGATCCATTTTGCAACTGCTACATACAGATGTTGGAAATGTGTCATACATTTTTCTGCCTTTCATCAAAATATTTTGTTCATCTTCTGCCGGCGTTCCCATTTTTTTTTCTTCTGTAGAACATATTTTCAGCTTCACAGCTGAACAAAGGAAAATTCCAGAGATTTCAGATCAACAGCCGAATTTCTGTAATAAAGTAGACAGTAACTCGTTTTTTCTTGGGGGTGGGAGATAGCTACTAACTGTCAGCAGAAGATAACTAAATGACTCCATACATTAAAGTGCAAAGCTCTTGACATAAATTCGTATGGCAGAATTCATAAATATTCAGAACATGGACGTCAAAATGTGCAAAGAAATTGGGTTTCCTAAGAAAATACAGCCTGCAGGCATTTGAAAAGGATCTAATAACAAATTTTAGATCCTAATAACTCTTCTGATTCTGATTGTTCCCCAACGAGCTTGTCTCCATCTTAGATGTTTTGCATGTAGCAGTTACTTTTGTAGCAAATATGACAACAAATTCAAAAGACTGAATCTGAATGTTACACGTAAGTTAGGATTGGTGTGTACGTCCTGTCACGCAAATCACAAGCTTGTAGAAACAGAGCTTAAAATCTTGCAGTACATATTTGTTATTTATTATTAAATAAATTAAGAAGCTAGTTTCTTTTTTCTAATATTTACTATTTGAGCTATTTGCACTAAAAGTTGAAAAGATGAGTTTGGTTCACGCTTGACACATGTGAAATACACATATAAAATAGACGTGACGACTGGCAATGGGGTCGGGGGTCGCGATGTGATTGAGGGTTGAGAGCTGGAAGGTTACGCAATTTTTTCAGTTTCTGTGTCTTATTCCACCTATTGTAATTGTTATGGTGAGATGCACTTATGACGGGTGGAATTTGGACCGGATGGATGCCGTTCAGAGGGCCGTACTTGCTGAAAAGACGTTTTTTGATCGTTTCAATACTGCTAAAACTTTCCATCACATAATGACTTTGCTATAAAGTAATTTTTTGCTCTCTGGCAGTAATTTGCATAAAGTAACTGAGCTATATGTCTCCCATATGTTTTGCTGTGCACTGCTAGTCAGCTAGCGAAAATAAATTTCTTTGTTCTCATGCTCAAAACAAAACGTGATTAAAAATTAAATATTTCTGATTGTAAGTAAACAAGGAAGTTAGAAACTGAACTACCCTTTGCTGTCACTCATATATATATTAAAGCAATAAAGTTTGAAAACTATACCTGGTAAGCTAGGGGTACACTGCTTTGCTAGCAACCAAAGTGCTAGCTTGATCGACAGACCAGCTTGCTATTTTTGTGCTACTCTATAATTATACTTAGTTATCTTTAAAATGACTCATGAATGTACTGGCTTTCCTAGTCAAGGAGCCTAATTTGTTTGAAACAAAAGCAATGCAATCATTTCACATAGTTTGGTGAAAAGACTGTGATACAGCTGCGTTTCAGACTCACACCTGACATGGACATTAGCATCTGTGCCTCTGGCTCTCTCCTTTCTGCCGCTGTGTTTAGACAGCGTCCACATCCCCACAGGAGAGCACGGCCCCTGCGCTGACGTCTACAAGACGCCCGTGATGGCAAATCATGTCAGAGAGGCAAGAGGGAGAGGGGAGACAAAGGAGCTGTGGTTCGCTGTTTATGCTAACTGATGTGCCCTGTGAATCGTACAGGATGGCTGGGACTCTGCATGTGCTGCGGACAGAGACTTGTGCTGATAAAAAAAGGTCAAGAGATGTGTGCTGGCCTGCCAGTCAGAGTATACCACAAGGACAAGCCTGACCCTGAGAGAAATCACTGAAAACAAACACACTTGTAGTGCGGGAAGTGTCCACCAAGGGGAGCTCTGAGCTTGTAATCCTGCAACAAAGTACTGTAAGTCAACCCCAACAAACCCCCACTTTTTCTTTCTTCTGTGCTGGCAGAGAGTCCCTATCGCCTCACCTAATTCTGTCTGCTTCATTTTATCCCGCACAAAGCTGACAAATGCATAGGTTATATAGAGAACCAGAGTGAATACACACACACACACCAGGAAACAAAGGAGGGACGCTTCGAGGCTTTGCTTCTTTTTTTTTGGTTTGTTTGTTTTGTCTTTTTAGGGGGAGGTTGCTGATACCAAGATAGCTATCGATGATGTCGCAAGACGCTAGAGTCCACTAAAACCTCAGGTGACGTCCAACACTTCCTGCAAACTGCAGCTCTCAGAAGGCATGCGGCACAAGTCAGTGTGTTGTGCTCGTCTGGGATGCGAGGAGAGGATGATGTCACAGAGATGTTTGGGATGCTCATTTGCCTGGAGCCTTTTTTTTTATTTGGAAGGAGTCAATATGGGAACACAAACCATAAAGCAGCCTGTGGAGTTATATATCCATACATATGAAAAAAGAAGCCCAAACAAAAACGCAGAAACTGGATCAAATGTAGATGTCTGAATTATCTCCACAGCTGTTTGTGAATTGCTGAAATCCACAAATACTACAGATCCCCTCTAAAATAGTCTAGAATTACTTATTTCAATAGTAATTTGCACAGTTGAAACCATCTTTGCTCTAGTACACATGATGATATTTCTCAGAAGTTGGGGATTCAGCCAATCAGTGCCAAAGGAGATAAAGGCGCTCCTGGATTAGCTGAACTCTAGACACCGGTCAGTAGCATGTTAGCAAGCCTAGCTGTATATTTTTAGATATAGTCTATGGACAGTGTCACAAATACAGTAGCTGGACTTTAGGCAAATATGGTAAAGAGATGTTCTACAGATAAGTCCATGAATATTGAAGCACAAAAAGGAGTCGACTGATTAAACCGTCTTTGGTCATTTTAAATGTAAAGACGTTAATATCTTTTGTATTTTAAAAAATGGCCTAAGTAATTTTTTTTTTTTTGCCTAAAATATCTTTTACCAAAAAAGAGGTGGTGATTTTTATTTCTTTATTCATTTTTTAACAAAAACACTTTTGGCAAAAAAATGACTTTTACACAGGTCACGATGTAATTCAGCTTTGTTCGTTCTCGTTGTCCTTTTCAACTGAGCCCTACAAAAACCTGAGTTTTCATTTTTCTGCTCTTCATTTCCATCATTGCCTGTCTTGCCGTTTTGTTTCTGACGTCACAGTTTTAACAAGGCTGCTTTCGTGACGCCGATGTGCAGCAAAGCTGCCGTGAGGTTTAATAACTCGCAGGCTCTCATTGATCCGCCTTG